CATTCAAATAGTACCAGGTCCGATCCAGAGGAGTATCATGATCCGGGACTAGGAATCCGGGTCACAAAAACGTTACAGATAATGAGTATTTATACAGTTTGGGCGATCAGGAAACAACATTGAAGTCTGTTACGTTGACAGTTAAGACGACCGATAGGAAACAGCACTGAAGAACGTGAGACTGATAGCTAGGACGACGATTACATTGGCAGTAGGAATTGACCAATAGAATTACGACTTAGAAAAATAGTTCTTTGAGGTTATTTGATGCATATCCTAACAAGTGTACAACAACCATAGGATATGAGTATGGTATTAGAAGTAGTTATTGATTGTCATCAAAATGAAACATTTATGAATTATTTTAGCTATTAAAATACTCGCAAACAAACTTAACGGATAGTAATTAAGATTTTAACTGATATAGTCAATTCGTTTAATATAACATCAGTTTCCGTCCAGTATTGTATTCTAATCTAGAATAAAATTTTTATTTAGCCATTATCTTTTCAGTTATATTGATATTCTAAAATTATCCGAACTTAAAACTTATAATTGTCCAAACAATTCGCTTGATCGGTTTGTGTGTCTGTTGGGTTTTACTTATTTCACGTAACCTCCAGGTTGTAGTTTTTCATTTTCTCAGCAACTTGAATACTCTCCTGCCAGTCTTTGATATCCCATGTACCTATTTAAATTAGTTATTGCCCTGGTTGTCAGAAGTATCATCGACCTCATAATTTCCGAAGAAATTCGACTTTCACCATGAGGTATCATATAAATCTTCTTCTATTCTGAGGACAGAGGTTCAATCATTAAAATGAATTTCTTTTGATTATTATTTCCTTGGCAAGGTTGATTTTTTCTATGGGATGGGGTTTCTAACTTTGTTCCCGACTCGCGACCGGCAGTAACTCATAAAGACTTCCAGCCTTATGTTCAATATGCAAACTGTTATATTTTGGGATTATATTTATGTGTTACTTCTATTTATAGTCAGATATTTCTTATCATCACTTGTGAATGAACAAAAAAATAATGTAAAGTAGAATTGTTCAATATTCGCTGTTCATTTTCATAATAGTTTATAGTAAGATGCTAATCATCAACCTTATCACTATAAGATTACTTAGTTATTTGTTAGGCAGTAAGAGGTGAGTCGACAAGTAATCCTAGGATGGTAGTGGATTTCTCAGGTTAGCGTTTCTTTTTTTAACCTGATTCTATTTTAATGAAGTGGAATTGTTAACCCTTTGTGTAACTGTCGTTCATCATCTAGGCTTCAGACCAGTAGTATTATCCATAGAGAAGTTCCAGATGGAGTCTGGGTCAACAATGTGTACGTATACTCATCGATAAACTGCTTTTTTATGTTGGGTTCGAATCTGTATCAATTTGAAACGCTATTCAAGCCAACGTTTGATTTAGTCAGTCAGTTGCAACGTACAACCTGATATGCTCGTCAGTTGATATGCTTGAAACTATTACGAGTTCACCTTACTCGGTAAACGAACGAAAGCAATGACTCAGTGACACTATACGCTATTCTAATCTGTTGTTCCAGCCCTGGCTAACTATAGCAAAAAGTCTTGATAAGGAGTAGAGACTGTATTCTACAAGCACCCAGAAGTTTCGAGGTTGCTAAGTACACAAATCAAGCGTATTTATACAATGATGGAAACGCCCTTGAGATAGCCACAAAATAGTGTACTAAAATAACACATCAACCAATATCAGTCAAGGATTTTCTGAGTGGGAAATGTAATCTCAAGGTCTACTGATCAGCTGATGCTTGAAAACACAAAATCCAAAGTTAGGACCTTTATCAAGTGAGTTCTGGGAAGCTAACATTCCCAAAAGAACTTCGTACCAAAGTAAATCAGTTCAAGTTACCATAACATATTAGCACAGAGATGCAATTGTCAATTCAAATCCCACAGTAGTAGAGGTAGTAAAAGTACTAGCAATAATCGGAAAGATTAGCGTTCGAAGATATTATTCAAGAAGTAGAATCTAGTGAAATAAACTTAGAAAGAACAAGATAAAGGTGATGAAGAATCAAGAGGATTAGGATTTGATAGTAACCAAGGCATGGATGCCCCTGGGAAATTGTAACTATTAAGACATACACAAGTATTATCAATGAAATTGAACAATGAATGAATAATCATCAGTTTATTTTGTGTTTAAAAATTAATTTTTTTTTCTATTTCTATTTTCTTTGTGTGTGTGTGTGTAATATGTATTATAATTTTAGAAACAACCAAAGGTTGGTTCATTCATTCATTATTCAATCTTTTGATGTACACAGAAAAACTAAACGTCTAAGTATATAAAAAGCACTGAATACTTAATCGTTGTTATTAATGTGTGTGTATTCTGTGTGTGTGTGTATGTGCGTGTGTATGTATTCTTTTGTCCATTTTATTTTGTCAGCTATGATGATGTTTAATAATCGTTTTATTGTATACTTCTTTCCTTGTAAAAATTCAATAACCCGAAGAAGGTTTGTGTTTTACTCGATTATTGATTTAAATATTTTTTATTTATGAAGTGAATGGAAATAAAGTGTGGGGGGGGCGTGGGGAAGTAACATAACTGGTTAAACTTTCAAAGACGTTTGATCGGTCAGTTATGTATTTTTTTCTTGTAAAGTTAAGTATTACAATGTAGTTCATGATGGGAACGACCACAAAAGTGAGAATGTTTATTAGTGTAATTATTTGTAATTATAGTTGGGAATATATATATCACAAACCGACTTCAGTCGAAAACCAGGAAGCACTGCACAACTGTTATCATTCCTAATAGGCGACTCCTTATTTTAGCACTGCTCATCGATGACTTTATCACATGGAGTTGGTCACAGCGCCATCGATTCCAATGAGCCGGGGGATCTAATGGTGCACATGTCCAAGCATCATCAATCAATTCGTGACATTGTCCAATCATCTTTGTGATGATATTAAAACTATTTCATAATCAATACAAAAAACACCGATGCCGATGATTTGACTTGTTTACACAAGAATAATATTTCTATAGCAGGGTAAATTACAAATTATTTAACAATGTTTTATTTTCAATTAGACTTATGGAGATTAGTGTTCTTACACAAAATATCGTAAAATATGCTTACTAGTGACTAGCTTCATGAGTAAATTCTCTGAGTTCTAGTGAGTAGACGTGATCAGTGGAGGTCACGCAAAAGCCGACCCATTGGTCCGATGGTTAGGCGTTTGCGCACAGTACCGAAGGTCCCGGGTTCGAATCCTGCGAGGTGCAGGAGTCGTGGATGCGCACTGCCACTGATGAGTCTCTTACCAGGACTTGATGTGCGTCTAGTACTTCCAGGTTTCTAATGGTGGTCTAACAACCAATGATTGATTGATGATTTCAAATGTGTGAAAAAAATGTTTTTCTTGTCTGTAATGAGGGTTTTTGTGTTTTTTAAGTTTAATTGTTATTGGAGAGGCATGTCTACTACTCTGTACTTTGATTGTTTTCATGTTTTTTCTTAAACCAACTTTTAAATAAAACGTCAACTAGTCATAATTATTACTATTATTAGTAGTAATATTATTGTTTATAGATTATTTATTCCAATACACATAACTTAATGTCACATCTATTTTCGAGCAGGCTACAATTACTGTACAATCATCATCTGGCAAACCGGTATGACTTACTAAGATGATTATGATTATGTCATTATGGAAACTGTCTGAATCGCTTTCCTCATTGAATAATGTTTTTTTTCCTACTGCACCCTTTCTTGCTATTTATTGATTAATATTTTTTTTCTGTCTACTGCACTAACCAAAAAGGGAACATCTCACCTGTTTTTTTACATATGTATATCATTTGCACTGAATTGTAAATTGAACACATTTTTGAAAGAGTGCGCTCATTATAAACTAGGCTTTGCCAGTCAACGGTGTTCTAGAATCACTTCAGTGGCATTTATTACTCAAAGCAATTTTCCCTGATAAGATGAATCGAAAGTTCATATGGAGGATTGACTTGAGTAAAGTAAACGCTGAATATAACCGATTCGATGACTTAACTCAAGACTATGGGGTCCCCTTTAGCAAGTATTGTTGTGGTGTATACTACTCATAACATGGTTTATGAGTAGTATGCAGTGGAGTGCCGTTCTGAAGTCACTGCTGAAGTGAAGAGTGTCAGATTCGGCTGTATGACCCGAACAGAGTGTTTTGAGGACTAGAAGGTATTGTGGAAGAAGAAAGTCGAAAATGGACATTTGAAGAAGAGGTGTAAACATTTTACTAGTTTGAAAAAAGAGGCAAAATTACGTTTCAGTCCTCATTGTGTCTTTCATTCAACATGATTTCCGTCTATAATTATGAGTGATAATTATTCACCGTCGTATTCGTTACATTTCCAGTGTTTAATTTTATTCAGTATAACATTTGAGTTAATTTCAGTGTGGTGTTTATTCTACAAATGATATTCTCTGTGCCTGCCGGCATCTAACGATGTTAATGTCTAACTTGATCAATTCACGGAGTTGCGCAACCTCATACACAGTCTTCGGTTGTTACTGTCTACATTCGAACAGGTTGAACTTCACTAGTCACGTCTTCCCACTGGTTAGGCATTCGCCCACAATACCGAAGGTCCTGGGTTCGAATCCTGCGGGGTGCAGGAGTCGTGGATGCGCACTGCTGAGGAGTCCTATACCAGGACTTGACGGCCGTCCAGTGCTTCCAGGTTTCTATTGGTGGTCTAACATTGATCGATTCATTGTTTCAAAAAAAAAACTTAACAATCTTCACAACCCCGTAATGTGGATATTCTCTGTATTGCATTGACCTGACCTATGTTCAGCATGACATGCAATCTATGATTTTGTTATTATTTCATATATGTAACTTTCTTCTTATTTATGGTCAAGTGGGTATACAGATTAGTCGATAAATAAATATGTTTTCCATGAGGGTTTTCATGTTTTAGAGAGAATAAATCTTTACTTTCAAACATTCAGTAATAGGTAACGCGGATCTAACATTGGCGACCACTCAGAGTTATAACATGTAGCCTGGTTGATTTCAGCACATTGGTCTACAGTTGATAATTTTCCTTCAAACATTAAAGAGTTTTGTATTTAATCCTATGTGGATTCATGAGTGCTTACTGTTTAGTGACAGTTTCGAAATGTTTGGCTGGCATAAGACATTTTTTTTAATTTCATCTGCAGATTCATGCTAACGAAAAGCTGAATTCTCATTTTCACTTTGCTTTAAAATCTTCATCTCTTCACTTCCGCCAGTCATTATTAGTTGCAGAGTTTTTTTTAATTTTCATTGACATAATGAATCGATCACTGTCAGATCACCATTAGAAACCCGAAAACATTGGACAGACATTTCGTCCTAATATGTGACTTATCAGCAGTGTGCATCCACGATCCCACAATCGGGAATCAAACATAAGACCTCCAGTCTCGCACGTTCAACGCCTAACCTCTTGGTCGCTGAATCGGCATCCATGAGATCGTGCGACCTCATCCACTATCTTCGGTTGAACTCCAATGGTTACGGCTTATACTTGGAACTTTGAAAATTCCTTCATGAAGCTAGGCACACGTGCTTTGTTGAGCTTTGTTGAAATCATCGATCGATAAATCTCAGCTCACCATTCGAAACCTATCCTAATATTTTTATTTGTTGTTCTTCGTTGAATTTCACTCTACATTGTTTTGATTTATTGAGTTTATTTACATTATGCACGCACATACATGCGCCTTATTCAAGACTATTAAAGAATACATCTATTTTTTTATTTCATTTCAACTAATCAGTCTAATTCCAATGTATTATATATTCCATTGTTTAAAAGCACTCGAAAACACCTAAATCACACTATATAATCAATCGTATGTTGTGTATTTTAAATAGTTCATTTTTTAAGTTTTTCGAGCCATTTCTTCTTCTTCTTCTTTTGTTGTTGTTGTTGTTTGAAATTCACAACTACTTTTATTTTCCTTTCTTTACTTTGGTATGTTTGCTAATCTTATGGATTTGTTAATGCATTTTGTCAATTTTTATGATTGACAGAATTACGAGAAGGTACTGAAGAAGTCGGTATTGAAACTGCATCGGTTCAGGTGGTTGGGACATGTGTTATGTATACCTAAACACCGACTGCCTCGACGAGCTATGTTTTGTGGTGTAGGAGTAGGTTGGAAGAAAGCTGGGGGTGGCCAAACCAAAACATGGCAGAAATCCATGAAGTCACTGACACGTGAACTGAGTCATGTTGGTAGATTTCAACTACCTGGTTGGGGTCCGCGAGACGAAAGTCACCAATGGTTAGAGACCTTGACGGACATGGCTCAAAACCGTTTGCGATGGCGCATGTGCATCCAATCTTTGTGTTCTCTCAAATCCTAACTTTTGGAGTTCCTCACCACCTCTATCTTTCCCTCTTTAAGTTTATTTCTCTAGAATATACTTTTTGAGTAGTATCTTCGAACCCTAATGCCTCCGATTACTGCTAATACTGTTGCTACCTCTACTACTGTGGTATTTCAATTTACAATTGCGTCTCTGTGCTAATTTGATATGGCAACCTGAACTGGCGTACGTATTTATGAAGTTCTACGTTGTAACTGACTGAAAACGTAATTTCATCTGATGTTTGTGTCTAAAAAATTAGTTATAGAGAACACTGGATAAATTTAGGATGAATATAGATATTAGGCAAGACTTCCTTCAACTACCTGATATCACACAGTATAGTTCATATGATATCAAGTCAGTTAAACTAGTAAACTACATTGCAACTCTTTGGTTATTAGAATTTGATTAACACTTAAGTGGTCGAGGTTGGGATAGCTCAGTGGCGATGTTTGAGACTATGATGTTTTGGTTAACATGAGGTCGATTCCTCCTGGGAATAGCAGTCTACTTAAAAATTACAGGTACTTTTTCCTGATATCGTGATAATTAGGTCACACATGGCCTCCTGTCGACTTCTTCCAGCCATCTAACATTATGTAAAAGACATTTTTGTAGATAATTTCATCAAGAACTGATCATTGTTACATCCTTGAACCTGGAAGCATTGAACGGTTGTTTAGCGTTTGTTTGAGACTCTCAAACAGCTAGTCGCTATAATCTCATAGGGATCCAAGTTGGAAATTTCAAATCACTCTTCATGAATGATTCACTTAGACTTTCAAGATTAAATTTAAATTTACCTAGAAAAACAAATTGACTAGCTCAATGACTTGGATTGTGAATTCGACATTTTTGGAAATGGACACTGACTTATCCTAGATTTAAAAAAATGAAATGTGTATCATATGATGGCTGCGGAAAGTTTGTGATTGAATTATATGTTTGATATTGCTTCTTACTGCTTATTTAAATAAGTCGATATATTCATTTATTGAAGTGTGGACATTACCGTTTTTTTAGCGAATCAGTTTTCTAAAGGATGGGGTTGCCACCCCCATGCCTAATCCTTCTCCTTTATCCGGGCTTGGGACCGGCAGTAGCCCCAGAGGAGCACCAGGTGGAGTTGAGTATAGACTTTAATTCAGGTTAAACAAGGACTGATATCGATATTTTCTTCCTTTGTTAAGTGGTATTTCCAAGTTCAACTTTAGCATGTTACACTGGAATGATAGAATATGCATTCATGACTTTGAAGCATATCTACCTTCCGGTGGTCCATTATGTATGTAAAATCTTATATTATTTCGTTCATTTAGTAAGTGGACATTGAATATAAAAGAATAACTTGCATTCGAACCTTGACTTTCACTTTACTTATTTAATCTATGTTGCGGTGCTCTTTGATGCCAAGTTGAAACTATACTCTTATTTACAGTATTTACCTCATAAAATGAACGGAAAAACTCTTGAAGATGTTAGACAGTAAACTGTTACTGAACATTAAAAAAGGATGATTATTTCCACATACATTCTACACTGACTCAGATTGTTCTTGTATTTTTAAACCACCAAGCATACTTAAAAGTGAGAATCAAGATAGTAGGATATCAGTATAGCTATCGAGATGTAATGTACTTTCTGTCAAACTTTAAAGGTCCTCTGTTTGATTTTGGGTGTGTGCGTTAGTCTAATCACGATGACACATTGTTGATGCTTCATACAAAAAAAGACTAGTACTACACCATTTTTCCAAAATGAACTCATCGCCATAAACCATTCGATTGAATCATGAACAAATTTGATATTTTATAGTTGTAACTGTGCATAGTCTTGCGATTTCTCTAAACTTTTACAAATGAGAACTAGTATTTATTAGAAAAAGTCATTTTTATTAAATATCACTTAAAAACGATCACTTTTTATATTAATAATAATTGTTATCATTAATATTACTACACATTAAACGTTTTCTAAACTGGTAAGTAAGTTGATCAAGTCACTTTCGGGTTCATTATTGATTTATGGTGTAAAAACAAGACATAGTTTATCAGGTAAGACATAAAGCACACTCTAGATTTGAGGATTCACCTCACAAAGCGACTTTCATTTTAGACACCTATTGAAAACCAGGAATCAATGTTTCATCCTATAGAGGAATTTTTTCAGTAGTGTGATCTAATTGTCCCATAGAATATTGAATACACTACGTACAGGTCTCATTGTAAGTGTTTAACATCCGAACTATGATCCGAATCGGTTATCATTATATTGCAAGCTTTACATAGTCGAACTCCATGAAGAATTTGTGTTTAATCCCTTATATAATGTCTTGAATTGGCATTATTGTTAGAAAGTATCATACTGGTCAAAACAATTGTCCAGTGTTTTGTGCGCTTGAATAATTTTATCTAACTAAACTCACTCTTTAATGTAAAACTTTCAATTCAACAATCTCTGTGCCCAGTCTTTGACCAATGCCTATCTTGTATTGTATGTAATCATTTTGAGAAGACTGAGGCAGGTACGATAGATTGTATTTGGCTAATTTACACTCTTAGTCAATTAACAACGAAAACATTACATTGAACACACTCTATTTGCACACCATCTTTGAGTCCTGACTTCCAACGCTCCAGCCTTCTTCCATTCCTGATGTTGCTTCCTTTACTTCCTGTTGGTACTCCATTTCCTTCTTGCTTTTGCTCCATTTGCTTTCCGTTTTCCTCTAGTGACCGTGAGAGTTCTTCTTTCACGTCCCTTCTTATACTACTTATATCGTTCGTATAAGTAGCACACACCACAGTATTACTATTTCGAATTATTATTTTTTCTAAGGTTGAACTACAATTGCACAATGCAATGAATAATGCTAATAAAAGTACAAATAATGTAGAACGTTGTGTACTTGATTTTGAAGGTCGTCGAGTGAAAGGTTTAAAAGTAAGTACACAAATTAATAACCGTTAAAAAAGTTTTATTTTTAAACAATAAACTTATTTTTTTTTACAAACATCTGTTTCGATCATTATTATTATTATTATAGTAAAGTTTACGATTAAGAATTTTAAAATGAATAGAGACATAAGAAGTGATTGTTGAGAGAATGATTTTGTGTGTTCATATTTAATTGGTACCTGACAAGCTGACATATTCGAAATTCGAAACAGTAACTGATATTTTAATTGATAGATTTCACAAGACGTAATCCTTATTCTAAGCATTGGTCACGGTAGTAGCGTGAACCTGAATCAGTTATTTTGAAACTGTCGTTATATTACTCCGTTCAATAGTCAATAAATTTACAAACCGAATTTCTGTATTTTAGTTAGGTTATTTCGAATCTTATTTCAGCTTAATTATGTATATCAGTAGATGCCATTTTAGTAGGTGTCGACTACCTGGTTGGGACATGCGAGATGGTAGTAATCGATGGTTAGAGACCCTGAATGACATGGCGCAGGTGCATTCATTATTTTTGTTCACTTAAATCCTAATCTTGAGTTTCCTCATCACCTTTATCTTTTTCTTTTTAAGTTTATTGCACTAGATTCTACTTCTTGAATAATATTGTCGAACCCTAAAATTTCCGATTACTACTAATAATTTTACTACCGTTACTACTATTATGGGATTTGAAGTGAGAATTGCATTCCTGTGCTAATGTGGTATGGCAACTTGAACTGATGTACGTAGGTACGTACGTACGAAGTTCTATGTTGTTGACTGACTGACTGACTACTGACTTTTCGTAGTAGGCGATGTTTGAGTATTTGTAACTTATATTCCTACAATCTTAACCAATGAAGATATATTGCGTCATCAGCCTAATAGATATGTTAATCTTGCACTTTTTGTTTAACTTCAGATATTTTCATTCAGTAATCTCAACACATCAATGACTGCATGTTAGTAACCCACGTTTTACCTAGCAAACTGTCCCATCCTATACTCTTTTTTTATTAATCGAAAGATGGGCATCTTGCCCGAGCTACACGCAGTGTAAGTTAAGAGGAAAGAGTTGGAGTTTTTGAACTTATGTCAACATTTTGTCGGACACTAACCCCGTCAGCGCTTTGATGGTCAACGCACTCACAACCTATCAATAGTTCAGGTGTTAGGATAAACCAGGCCTAAAGCATTAGTTTACATTTAAAAAGAGAAAGAGAGTATGCATTCATGCCCAAGTCTACTTGCATCGTTGTTCAATGTGATCAGTCACTTATTTATTAGAATCCACTGGTTTCATACTCTGATTATTGATTGAAATAACTTGAAGCTTGAGTTAAATCATCAATGTACACTGTATTAAGGGAAGTATAGACCGGAGTGAAATTCTTATCCGGTAATCTTCAGTTGTTATTTAGTTGACTGAAATTAAACAAATTTTATAATTAAAAAGTACAATGATGTAATAAATAAAAGCAGAAAAAAAATAACAACTCAGTAGTAGGTTTAGTTCTTTGTTTAGAGTAAAGTCAATACACTCACTCTATGCTTTAATAACAAAAGTGCATTCATAAATATACTTTAAACTAAGCTTAATGAATAGCAGCTATATAACCAGTGTAGGTTATCTGTGTCCGATGTGCGAGGAAGGTATCCACTGAAAGTAACAGAACAAGATGGTCATTCAGTATCAACACGACTGATTAAAGTTAGACTTGCACACTAATGGATCTCGGCTTGATGGTCTCATATTTTGTACGCTGGCATACAGAGTCGCGAAGGTCTCGAGTTTGATTCCCACTACCAAGGAATCCAATAATAAGATGAAATGGCTATTTTGGTGCGTTCAGATTGTTTAACTGAAGTCATTTTGTGATTTCAATGAAATTTGAATTTTATGATATTTGAAATCATGAATCGAACAATGTTAGACCACCATTAGAAACCTAGAAGAAACACTGGACAGCCATCTCGTCCTGGTATGGGACTCATCACCAGTGCGCATCCGTGACTCTCTCTTGTGCGCGAACGCCTAACCCCTTGACCATTGACCATTGAGCTGGTATCTAACGATGTTAATGTCTTATTTCGATCAACTCCCGAAGTTGCGCAATCTCATACACTGACTTTGGTAGTTGCTGTCTACACCCGAATAGGTTGAACTTCTACCTGATCACGACTTCCCACTAGAACTCGGCGAAGATTCCTCACGGAGCTCACGTCACTAGTGAGCCCAGGTAATTACATTACAGGGTTGTGAAGATTGTTAAGTTACACATTTCAAATCATCAATCAATCAATCAATCATTGTTAGACCACCAATTAGAAACCTGGAAGAAGCACTGGACAGCCGTTTCGTCCTGGTATGGGACTCATCAGCATTGCGCATCCATGATATTATTAACACAATGGATTGGATATTTTTTCATTTTCTTATCATTAATTCTGCTATTTTTATTTTCTTTTCTTTTTTTTTCTCTTAATTTAGCGAATTATAACTGATTTCATTCAAATTGAATTATTATGGCATGCTAAAGCATTGGAAACATTAACTTCCGCTTATAATGCCATTCAATCATTGCATGAAGAAGCAGATCTAGTTGAATTTCGTAGTACACTACTACGTTCTGGAAGTAGTTTAACCATGTTAAATAATGATAGTAATTTTTTGTTGAATCAACAAAATCCCACAATGAACAATCAATTATCACCAATGATTTCTCCATCAGTACGAATTAGAGATCATCGAACCTATCGTCCATCATCATCAGCATCAGTGCATAGTTCAATGAATTCAATCAGTGGTAGTCGGTGTAGTTTAACATCGTCAGCTCGTAGAAAAAATAAAAATCAACCATTACCAAATCGAATTCAACAACAGCAACAACAATTACAACATCAACAACACGATCAACTGTCACCCTCACATCAGTTACAACAACGACAGCAACAACAACATTCCACCTTGTCACATCAGGTAAAATCTTTGTGCTCTTCTACGACTTTATACACTACTATATTTGCAAGACCCATTGGTATTCAGTCAGTCAATCAGTCAGTTATTTTATCGATTGAAATGATGAAGATATTTGTTTCAAACTACGTTGGACCTAAAAGCGGCATTTGACTCAGTGGATCGTGAGGTTCTGTGGCAGTGTTTGTCATTGAAAGGTGTACAAAAGAAGTACATTAATCTTATACAAGCTCTCTACTCGAACACTGCAGGTCGAGTGAGAGCTTATGGCAAACTGTCTTCTGAATTCTCTACTTCAAGTTGTGTCCGTCAGGGATGTCCACTCTCTCCATTGTTGTTTAACTTTGTCGTAGACATCCTCTTAGAGTTAACATTAAGCTTGTCAGGTTTTTCAGGGGTTGACCTACCAGGAAAATCTCTTACTGACCTAGAATATGCCGATGACATAATTTCGTTCGGTGAAGACGCTGACAAAATGCAGAGTCTTCTGACCACCCTAAGCAACAATGCGAGCATATTTGAGATGTGGTTTTCAGCCCACCCTCCCCCCCCGAAATACAAAATATTGCTTCAAGATTGGGTTTCATCGGCACCCGAACTAGTGACAGCGAGTGAAGTAGTCAAACGCGTAGATCGCTTCACTTATCTGGGGAGTCTCATCAGCGCTGATAGCCTGGTGACTGACGAAATCTCAGCTCCGATACAGAAAGATCGATTGGCTTTTGCCAACCTGCGTCACTTATGGCGTAGGCGAGATATCCGTTTGCTGACTAAAAGACGAGTGTACTGTGCAGTAGTTCGCTCTGTCTTACTTTATGGCTGTGAAACATGGCCAGTGAGAGTAGAAGATATTCTTAGGTTATTTGTTTTCGATCATAGGTGTCTTCGAAGCATTGCTCGTATACCGTGGGACAACCGAGTAAGCAATGCTGTCGTTAGGAAACGGGTGCTAGATAAGATTGGCAGATCAATCGATGAAGTGGTGAAACTTCATCAGTTGAGGTGGTTTGGACATATGTTACGAATGCCTAACCACCGACTGCCTCGAAGAGCTTCGTTTTGTAGTGTAGGAATAGGTTGGAAGAAAGCTAGAGGGGCCAGCCTGAAACATGGCAGAAATCCATGAAGTCATTGACAAGTGAACTGAGTCAAGTCGGTAGTTGTCGACTACTTGGTTGGGGTCCACGAGATGATAATAATCGATGGTTAGAGACCTTGAATGACATGGCTCAGAATCGTTTACAATGGCGCATGTGCATCCATTCGTTGAGTTCTCTCAAATCCAAATCTTCTGGATTCGTCAGTACCTCTACCTTTGTCTTTCTAACTTATCTCACTGAATTATACTTCTCGAATCATAATCTTCGAACCCTAGTCTTCTTTATTACCATCAATACCTCTACTATCTTTATCACTATGGGATTTGGTTTGACATTTGCGTCTCTGTGCTAATGTAGTATGGCAACATGAACTTATGTACATACGTACGAAGTTCTACGTTGCAACTGACTGACTGACTGACGTTGAAACAGAGCTAAGAGTGTGGTTTGAGCGAAGTATGGCCCCCATTTAGTGAAGTTATTATTTATTCATTGTTGGTTTCAGTCATGTCGAGGTTTGTTTCATCATACATGAATGACTTAGCTAAGAAGGTTTGTGTGCGCCCAGTTGACTGACTCTGTCCTGCAATATTATTGTTTTCTAAAGTTCAATGTTGAATTTCATCATAGGTCGAAATAACAAATTAAGGAAGTACTAGATTGTTCTCCGTTCTACGCGCAATTCAAACAACGGACTGAACCTAGTACCTTATAGTTTGTTTTTTCATTGAACGGGTTTCTAGCTTACAAACCATATTATTAGAGTTCAACTGTCAGTGAGGAATAAATTAGATTGTGAGTATATGGTATAACAATTATTTTCGCCTGAAGATTATCGCATTTGAAGTGTTGAGTTACACTCCTTACAAATATAACTCATTACATTGAACTTGTTGGGGACGTTAGATCCCCAGAACTCGCTTGACGGATGCCTTATTTTGGATTTCACGTTTGCCAGCATGGGCTGATCAGTTAGTTGACCTTGAGATTCCATTTCTCACCAAGAAAATCCTTAGCTGTGATTGGCTGCTGTGTATTTTAGTGTGCTATTTTCATAACTGTCCCAAGGACGTTTCTATGATGTATAGATGAACGAGATTTGTGTGCTTGATTGTATTGTGTTGTGCTTGCTGGGTGTTTGTAGAATATACTTTCTACACTACATCAAGACTTTTCATTAGTCAACAGATCAGGGTAGCCTACCTGGACGCTGGTTCATTGTCTCGTTTGCGTTTATCGACTAAGGTGAAGAACCCGTAATAGTTTCCAGCATACCGGCAGCCCCACCTAACAGAACTTAACTCTGTGCATCATTGAACATTGACAATTTCGGTTTGTTGTAAGTGTTCAGTGAAACTTTTAAAGACATATATATTTTAATTATTCATGAGATAAGATTAATTTTTACAACCAATCAACAAATCAATTTCATTTGTACAATGATTGAACAAACTTAAGGGTAGTGAATTTCATGTTTTGGCTTTTACTCGAAACTCTGCATCCTTGACTATTGATAGATTTAAGTTTAGTAATCGCTTATTTTAATATTCAATAGATTATACTGAAATACAAGAAAGTCATACGATAATTCTCTCTGACATTAAAAACATGGTGTATGCAATATTGATTAGATTCAACTGATGAAGACCTTGAAACATAACTTGATAGACATTGACCATCGCAATGGGATAAACCAGCACACTATTGATTACTGTACACTGAGTGAAAAGTTCAAATATCTCAGTCCTATAGGGAAGTCAGTCACTATCATCATCACTGGAAAATGCGAGTTCAACATCCACGAGCATCATTAGTTCTCTCAAGAATTCATATACATCGTATTGATGAGTACCATATTGCGTGAGGCTTAGGTTCCCCTGTATAGACACCTTTCTATATACTAAAAAAAGAAGTTCAATCAATTTTTATAGATAGCATGTTCAATTAGTCAACCTTTTTTTTCTAACTAGTTTGTATTTATGCAATCAACTGTAACTGTTCAAGTATTTCCACTAACTCTCTTGTCAAACATTTGAATTTGTACTAATTAATTTAAACTTTGTATACAACATAATTGTTTCATATTTCACATTTTTTGAACTTAATTTTTTTCCATTTACACAACTATTTATCAACAAGCAGAATGATGATGTAACAAGTTTGTTCACTGAAGGAGACGATGATATTATTGTTGTTCAAAATGTTCGTGACAAAGTTGATCGAAGAAGTCCTGTGAATAATGGTTTACAAGATCTGGAAGATGATGATTTTGATGAAGAAGAAGAAGGCAATACAGAAGATGAAGAGGATGATGATGAAGACGATGACAACGATGACGATGATGATGAAGATGGTGAATATGTGGTGGACACTACTACTAATACTACTAATACTACTGGTGCTATGACACATCATTCACCAACAAGAATTGTAAATCATCATCATTCTGCAACATCCTCATCAGTCAATAATAATAGTAGACTACCTGGATCCCAACAGAATTCTCCATTGAAATCTGCATTAAAAACCGGCATATCGAAACTGTGATGACACAGTATTCTAATAATGTCCTTTATTGATGTTAGAAACTTGTTCCTTTCATAATATTATATATATATATCAATGACTAATAGGTAAGCTGTATTATATGTATAACGCAAACGAAAACAGATTCTCTCTCTGAATGACCGCATCTATATATATATTTTTCAATAGAATTCATTCTTTGTGTTTTATTTTGACTTTAAAAATTGTTTTTTTTTTCAAATAATGTGTTAATTCACGAAAAAAAACAAAATCTTTCTGTCCAGATTTAAATATTACACCACTTTATGTGTATATTATTACTTTGTTGTAATTATTACAAGTAGTATCAACCTATGTTACATAAAAGAAAAAGTTGTCGTTACACTTGGACGAATGAATATATACACAACATTTTCAAAAAAAAAAACCTTGATCCATTATTATCTATTATTAGCTTTTAGTATTTTCCTATTGAAATTAGATTTTGTTTTCAGCACAAAAAAAATGCACAATATATGCTCGTCTTTTATGCGTACTTTCTGTGTTTGATGATTGATTTTCTGTTCAATAGTCAATAGTTAGTCAATATTCAATAATTCACTATACTGTGTAATATATCATATTTTCTCTTTGTATATGAAATTTTTTTGAAATTGGTTTTTTTTTCTCTCTGTCTAGTTTGTACTCTATGCAAATATCTATCTACTTATCTATCTGTCTATCTGTATCAGTAATATATACATATAGAAGATTGTTGTATCAGACTCATTGTATTTGTTTTATTGAAGTTGGTTTTCTATGCTTAACATTGTCAATATTGTTGTTGTTGTTATTCTTGTTGGTTAGTTAATTCTTCTTATTCTCGACTTTTTGATATTCAAATAGATAATATACAAGCTGTTGTTGTGTAATTTAACATTTAGAAGAGAATAATACAGTATTTGAATTTAAATGAATTTGTTTGAATTAAATGTTAATTTCTTTTTATTGTTGTTGAAATAACTAGTTTAATTAATGTTTCACAGATATATGATAATGAAGTGTTTCGCTATTTTGTAAATACTTTTAAAATTATCAGCAAATAGTTATGGTTTTGTTAGCCGGACATAGATGGATGTAAGCATGACTGCATTAGCTGCACGCTGATTGGTTAATTCCTATCCAATCAGAGCCTTGTACATTCCAGAAGCTTCTCGTGTAAAAACTATAAAGAGATTAACGTTGTTGCTGTTTTGCCTTCGCTTCGGCTTTTTACTTCCATTTAACCTAGCTATTTGGAATATGATCTTTTCCTGTTCAACGGTGTTCTGATTTTGGGGACTTGTTCGAGAATACTAAGTTATAGGAATTAGCTGGGTCTACTAAAAGAGATTTCTAACAGGTTCAATATGAGGAAGGGGACGGAAGTGATAGATAAGGGTTTATTATAATAATAAATCGAAAACTCTGATCATGGGTAATTATTTAAATCATTTAGACTGGGTACCAATAAGAGGTGGTTGGCAGTAGTTGACGAGAAACCAAAGACTTAGGTTTCATGTTATTTAACAGCCGTTAACACGGCACACTTGTGGATCTCAACGTGAATGCGCCATTACGTCGCGATGTTGTCGTTAGGAAACGAGTACTAGGTAGGTATGGCAAATCATTAGATGAAAGTTCATTATTTGAGGTGGTTGGCGTATGTGTTACGTATGCGTAACCACCTACTGCCTCGACGAGCGATATTTTGTGGTGTAGAAGTAGGTTGGAAGAAAGTTAGCGGTGGCCAAAACAAAACATGGCAGAAATCCATGAAGTCACTGACAAGTGAACTGAGTCATGTTGGTAGATGCCGACTACCTGGTTGGGATCTGCGATAAGATAGTAATCGATGGTTAGAGACCCTGAATGACATGACTGAAAATCGTTTGCAATGACGCAGGTGCATTCATTCTTTGTGTTCTCTCTAATCCTAACCTGAATTCCTCATCCCGTTTATTTTTCTCTTTCTAAATTTATCTTACTGAATAATACTTCTCGAATCATAATCTTTGAATCCTAATCTCCATTACCACTAATAATTCTACTATCGCTACCACTATGTAATTTGGACTGACAGTTGCGTATGGCAACCTGGACTGATGTACCTACGTCCGGAGTTCTGAGTTGTATCTGTCAGTCTGTATCACGTCGCAAACAAATTAGTGACTACGTTCCAACTTTTTGTTCATAGAATTGGCTTAGTACTAAAAAGGTTTTGACACATATGTCGCTGGTCACCGTTCAATGAATGATCAGTCAGTTGTAAACTTACCAATCATTAAAACGATTGAGCATTGAGAAACAGATGAGGCACCGACTTTTAACTATATTTTTGATGGGCCTGATAATAGGTCTATTTTCCCTAGTTAGGGTATCGACAACCTTTTCATGATTATCTCTTAAAGATTTATCATCGAAGTCAGTGAATACTGACGTTCACTGCCTGGACTAGAAATCTCAATTGATAATTACAGTCTGTACATATTTATGAATTAAATAAACTGATAATGGTTGGCATCTTATGACTTGAGGTGAACTCAGGTGTTGTTCAATATATGAAGATAGTTGTCACTTTGTCACTGCCTATATCTTGAAATCATAATTCTTTCAGAAACTCTTTTAAAAAACTGACTTATAGTTAGTGTTAACAACCTGAGTAAGTGACCACAGAGTCCAAGCGATAACTACTTGAAGTTGGTCTTAAACGGTCTATTTCTGAGTAGTTTCAGGTGTGTTTGCTTTGAATTATTTCCAAGGTCTTATCACCGGCAGCGGAAAATAGTACGGTAGGTAAGGTGGGCTACTTTTAGGGCTGACTTTGTTTGACTGGTGTAGGAATGTGTCATCTCTGAAGGTGCTGGTTGTGTGAAGGAATCATCTTACTGCTATCACATCATCCCATATCCAGTTATTAATTTACTCTTATTTGCTCTCTTTGTTCAACTAATTCGTTTTTAAAGTTATTTCATAATGCCCTAACCTTGGGTACATGCTGAAAACGACTGATAATTAAGAGACTGACAGAAGTTGAGATCACGGAATATTGATTTTAAATTTAAGGATTTAAGCGAGGCATTTTCGCTATATGACCTCAAAGGTCTACATTTGATCGTATTTAAGGTCACGAGCGCATACTGATAAATACCCAATATTTAAAAGTTTCAAAAAACGATCATTCCGTGCTTACTGGTTTTACGGTGGTTTTAATGCCTATTATCAGTTCATCATTAAGGCTAGTTTGCGTGATATTTTTAGTTTAAACAACGATATAACTTGTGATGACAAGTGCTTTAATAGTTTCGTGGCAATCGGTATTCGATATGTTCTTAGACTTTGTATGCTGCTCGTCCAGACAACCGTTGCTGAATAACAACGCCTCATGGTTTTATAAATTAGAAGACGAATACGAATTGTTGAATACTTTTATTTGACGCACCACAAACAGACCACCAAACCACAGGCTTACGAAACAAAAACCAATATGCAAGTGCCAAAGAGCAGCCAAGCGAATGAATTAATAGGATTAAAGTGTACATATATATACATAGGGAAATGGCTGAGTCATCGAAATATTTAAGGGGGTAACATTAAACCGAATAGGGTGGATATGAGTGTAGGTGGTAGGCAATCTCATTCGTATCTACTCTTACAAACTCGACAATAATCAAAGCACAATGGTACATACAAGTTATTACTATACAAATGAATCATTCAAATACATTACGGAGTTGTGAAGATTGTTAAGTTACTCAGTGAAATCATGAATCAAATAATGTTAGACCACCACTAGAAACCTAGAAGCAGTGGACAGCTGTCTCGTCCTAGTATGGGACTCATCAGCGGTGTTCATCCACAACTCGTGCACCTCGCAGGATTCGAATCCAGGACCTTCGGTATTGTAGGCGAACGCCTAATATCTGGACCACTGAGCCGGTATCTAACGTTGTTAATGTCCAACTTCGATCAATTCACGGAGTTACGCAATCTCATACATACTGTCTACACCCGAACAGGTCTAATAACTTTACTGGTCACGACTTCTCACTAGAACTCGAAGAAGATTTCTCACGGAATAAGTTAATCAAAAGGCTTAACCAAATTAAATATGAACAAATTCAAGTTTATGTAGATGTACTACATTCTCTAACTTATTAGTGTCGATTCAACTAACGTAAACAATAAAGTTCATCCATCCATCACCATTCATTTATCAAGTATGCTATCATACATCAGGATGATAAATGTCAATACATGTTGATTTAACAGTTTTTTTTCATAGTTGAAATCACATACTCATCTAAGCTAGACCATCATTCGAAACCTGGAAGCACTGTGTGACTGACTATTCCTTCCCAGTACGGGACTAATCAGCAGTGTACAGCTATGACCCGCGCCCTCGGGAGTCGATTTAAGATCATTCAGTCTCGCTCGTTGACCTCCGGAACATTGAGACGACATTTAACAGTGGTAATATCTAATTTCAATCAATCCATGACCTTGCACAACCTTCACCCATTGCCTGCGGCGGATAATTCAGTTCGATTCACGCGTTTGGAGGTCATGGATGTGTACTGCTGAGGAGTCCCATTCTAGGACTTGACGGGTTTTGAGAAGGGATAATAATTACATTACTCAGGTAATTAGTTTTATCTGTCGTCTATATATACTAAATATGTGCACACACAGTCAGTCACTGATCATTTAACACTGAATACTACTCATTTCAATTTATAGAAATTTTTATGCACATACACCAAATAAAAATTGACGTGCTTATGTATCGTTTTGATTTATTTTTTTAGGTTAGATAAATCCAAATCAAAAAGTCTTCGTGTTCTCACTATACGTTATCAGATACAGGGTTGTAGTACTAGGCATAAGTCATTGGAACATTTCCACAGACATTACAATTGACAGATACTAGAATTATTAAAGAGTAAAACAGCAGCTAACAATTGTTGATTTTACAAAAAACTATGGATAAATTTTAACAATTTTATACCTCGACATTTTTATACTACTGAATAAAAATGTCATAGTAGTGTAAATCATAACAGTAAACAATCAGATTGGTGACTTAAGTTTGCTAACGTTATGCTATTTAAATGGAATTGGAATATTTCCTTCTCAAATAAGGAAAACTACGTGCTAAATTCATCACTGAGCAAATGTTGACGATATTGATGACACTGATAAGAATAAATGACAGCTTAACTAAATATGGTCGATATATATATATATTAAAGCAAATTGAAATGACTTAGATGTATGAATAATCCTTATATTTTAGATAGAAGACAAAATGATATGAGACATTGGTAGAAGTTATATATCGCCATCAACAAAGATTTGAGTCATGGCTGTTGTCGATATTCCGCACTGGATTATGAACAGTCTATACTGATACTGAACAGACCAGATTCCAGCGGAGGTGGACATCAGGAAAAAGCTCCGGAAAAGGATGGGACACACATTACGGAAAGCACCCAACTGCGTCATAAGACAAGCCCTCACTTTGAATCCTCAAGGTCAAACGAAAAGGGGAAGGTCAAGGCAAACATTACGCCGAGAAATGGCCACAGACATCAGAAGAATGAACAAAAATTGAACAGAACTGGAAAGGGAAGCCCTGGACAAAGTTGGCGGCCTATGTTCCATAAATCTATTTATTCTCAAAGCTTTTGATCATCTGTTCTAACTACTTTTTTGATTTTATTAAATGATGAAAAACATGAAACTTGTACATTGAATAATTACTAATCTACTTTCAAAAATTTAATAAGCGATAGCTGAAAATGAACTCGAACGTGGACCAGACTAAATTATTCATTTCATGCGTAACTAAGGAAAGATTGTAATGTAAACTATGAATTGTTGTAAATAAACAGTTTGTTAGTGAGAACATAAAACAAACCCAGTTAGAAAAAAGGTAGTGACAGCTATTAACAATGGATATCTGATTTTTCCTAGTATGGGATTCACAGTGAGACACCATAGTCTTGAGTTCTATCCCTTGTGCAGGATTCGTATGCGCTCACTTTTGAGAAGTTTCAACAGTACTCCACATGAGATTAGTCTATGACAAATACAGCTTATTTTCGGGCAGAGTTTTGGAGGTTTGTGTTTTTACATATTTGAAATCATCAATCAATCATTGGTTGTTAGACCACCATTAGAAACCTGGAAGAAGCACTGGACGCCCGTTTCGTCCTGGTATGGGAATTACTCATCAATAGTGGGCATCCACGACTCCTGCACCTTGCAGGATTCGAACACGGGACCTTCGGTATTGTGCGCGAAAGCCTAACCATCGGACCACTGAGCCGGTGGCGTCCAACGGTGTTAATGTTCAACAAATGTCTTACAAAAAAAAACTCAAAATTCTTGTGAATTCATTACTCAGAAAATTTTAATAGCGAACACGTTTTCAATCAAAACCAACAATAAAGTATTAAACAACAAAATAATCTAGAATAATTCAAAAGAATATGTATGTATATTGGTTAAATTTTCAATAGATTTTGTTTTAAATTTCAACACATATTTGATTGTATTAAATATCGCTTCCATCTTATTTATTATAAAGAGACTATTGTAAATTAAGAATCTGATTATTTTTTTAAAAGAAAAAACAAACTAAAAGAAGATAATGAAAAGGAAATTGATTACGGAATATCAGTTGAATTGGTGGAAGAATTCATTGAGATGGTGGAAGAATTCGTTGAAATGGTGGAAGAATCTATCGGACTGGTGGACAAACCCATTGGACTGGTGGAAGAATCCACTGAAATAGTGGAAGAATTCATTGAGATGGTGGAAGAATTCGTTGAAATGGTGGAAGGATTCGTTGAAGTGGTGGAAGAATTCATAGAACTAGTGGAGGAATTCATTGAACTGGTGGAGGAATTCATTAAACTGATGGAAGGACTCATTGAAATTGTGGAAGAATCTATTGAACTGGTGGAAGTATCTATCAAACTGATAGAAGAATCCATCGAAATGGTGGAAGAATTCGTTGAAATGGTGGAAGAATCTAGCGGACTGGTGGTAGAATTCATCGAACTCGTGGAGGAATTCATTAAACTCATGGAGGAATTCATTAAACTCGTGGAGGAATTCATAAAACTGATGGAAGGACTTATTGAAATGGTGGAAGAATCCATCGAACTGGTGGAAGGATTCGTTGAAATGGTGGAGTAATTCATCAAACTCGTCGAGAAATCCATCGAAATGGTGGAAGTATCTATCGGACTGGTGGAAGAACCCATTGAACTAGTGGAAGAATCTATTGAACTGGTGGAAGAAACCATCGTACTGGTGGACAAACCCATCGAACTAGTGGAAGAATCCATTGAACTGATTTTCTTATCATTAATTGAATCCAATTTATACTCAGCAGGTAAATGTTGTTGAATAAATTCTTTATGTGTAGTAACACTAGAAAATACATACCAACCACTACCAGCTATAGATGTAACACCGACAACTTGTCCATTTTTATCAAAAATTGGTCCTCCACTATCACCAACATCTGGTCCTTGATTATTACTATTGATATTAGAACAAAGTGCTCCATCTGTTGGTATTTTAATATGTTTTGGACATTCTTGTAATTTTAATAAACCTAATAAGTATAGTATTATTTATAATTTAGATAATAATAATAAGTTTTTCTTACCAAAACGTAATTGACCAATTGATTCACCTTGTGTAGTATCTTCACCATAACCTAATATAAAATAATCATTATTCATATCTTCTTGTTGCTGTTGTCCATCATTTTCAATAAACGAGAAATTATAATTTAATGAAGCAATTTCTATCCATCCTTTAGAAATGGATAATTTTTTAGTCAATGTTAAAATAGCAATATCCGGTGAACCACCAAGATGATCATGACTACCAGTTGAACCTATATTAAGTTGTTCACATTGACTTTTATATGATTCAGGATAATTGAAATATGCACCTAATCGAAATTGTGTATAAGGTGTGAATCGTTCATCGATTTTAGTTAAATTTGCATGAACCTGTAATATCAACAACAAACAAACAAAAAAATGAATAGTTATTACTATTATTATTATTATTATTATTATTATTATTATTGTTATTATTATTATTATTACTATTGAGAATGAATAGTTTTTAATTCTGAACAATATTGATTGGCTTGTGAGAGAGTAAAAAAAGCTTAGTGAAGAGGTTTAGCAATGTTGTAGTTTAATGTAGAAGCACGAATCCGACGAAAAATTCTCCATTATTAGTATAGAGGTGTGATGACTGTTGAGTTTTGATTGAAATCATGAACCAATCAATGTTAGGCCACTATTTTAAAACTTTAAAGCACTAGACAGCCGTTTCATCTTAGTATGGAATTCGCGAACAGTGTTCACTCAAGATCCCTGTACACGGTAATCGGACCCACGATTGTCTAGTTCGCACCGTTGGATGCACATATGTTAAGTGTTTACGTAGGTCATTGATGCGAGTCAACTCCGCCAGTAGAACCTTCGGGGCTACTGTCGGTCCCAAGCTCGGATAAAGGAGTAGGGGTTTGACATGAGATTGTCGCCCCCATCCCAACTAAAAACTAACTTGCCAAAAAAACGCTAACCAGAAATAATAATCCAAACCATTTTAAGTCTGCACTGGCAGCTGGAAGAAGGATTATCACGTCTCGTGATGAAAGCCGAGTTCCCTCTGAAGTCACGAGGCCGATGCCTATTCTGACAACCAGAGCAATCATTCTTTTAGGTACATGGAAAGTTTAAACACTGTAACATACTGGAAGACTATTCCAAACTGCGGCAGAAATGAAGAGATACAACCTGGAGATGCTTGGAATCAGCAAAACGCATCGGACACAGGTAGGACAACTGAGACTAGCTTCAGGGGAACTGCCGTTATACTCTGGTCATGAAGAGGAAAACGCTTCACATAGACAAGGAGTTGCACTGATGCTGTCCAAACATGCACAAAAGGAACTGATAGGATGGGAATCTCATGGACCGAGGATCATTAAAGCATCCTTCAAAACAAAGAAAGAGGACATTACAATGAACGTCATCTAATGCTATGCACCTACCAATGACTACAATGACGACGTTAAAAATCAATTCTACGAAAGGCTGCAGACAATCGTCGAGAAATGTTCACCAAAGGATTTGACGATTCTTATGGGAGACCTGAATGCCAAGGTTGGCATGGACAACACTGGATATGAAGACATCATGGGACGACATGGACTGGGAGAAAGGAACGAAAACGGTGAGAGATTTGCAAACCTATGTGCCTTCAACAAACTGGTCATCGGTGGCACAATATTCTCGCACAAACGCATACATTAAGCAATATGGATTTCACCGAATTACACAACTCAGAACCAAATCGACCATGTCTTTATCAATAAGAAGTTCAGAAGGACTATGGAGGATGTGAGAACCAAGAGAGGAGCTGATATAGCCTCAGATCACCACTTGTTGGTAGCTAAAATGAAACTGGAACTAAAGAAGCACTGGACAACGGGGCAGACAACATTACACAAGTTTAATACAGCCATTCTTCGGTATACCGTAAAACCCAAACAATTCAAGATAGCCCTAACCAATCTGTTCCAAGCCTTGCACGATATACTCAATGGAGAGGAAGCGACATTGGAGAACAATTGGAAATGGATCAAGGAGGCAATCACTTCAACATGTCAGAAGGTTCTGCGCCACAAGAAGCACCGTCACAAGGAATGGGTCTCTTGAAAAAATTGAAGAAAGGTGGAACAAGGGGGCAGCAATCAATGTCAGCCGAACGAGAGCAGAGAAGGTTACCGCACAAGCTGCATACACAGAAGCAAACAGGGAAGTGAAGAAGAGCATCAGAGCCGACAAGTGGAAATGTGTGGAGGATCTAGCAACGACGGCGGAAAGGGCTGCAAGAGACGGAAACCTGAGACAATTGTACGATACAACAAAGAAACTCGCTGGAAACCATCGTAAACCAGAATGACCAGTGAAAAGCAAGGAAGAAAAAGTAATCAGCAATACTGAAGAACAGCGAAACAGGTGGGTAGAGCACTTTAAGGAACTCTTGAATCGACCAGCTCCACTGGACACACCCAACATCGAAGCAGCATCTACGGACCTCCCAATTAATATTGGCGCACCTACGATTGAGGAGATCAGTATGGCCATCAGACAAATCAAGAGCGGCAAAGCAGCAAGACCAGACAACATTTCAGCAGAGACAATGAAAGCAGATGTGGAAGCAACTGCAAATATATTTCACATTCTCTTCAAGAAGATTTGGGATGAGGAACAAGTACCATCAGATTGGAAAGAAGGATACCTGATCAAAATACCAAAGAAAGGCGATCTCAGCAAGTGTGAGAACTACAGAGGCATCACTCTTCTTTCAATACCAGGCAAAGTCTTCAACAGGGTATTGTCAAACAGAATGAAGGACTTCGTAGACGCCCAACTTCGAGATCAACAGGCTGGATTTCGTAAGGATCGATCGTGTACTGACCGAATTGCAAAATTACGGATCACTGTGGAGCAATCAATAGAATGGAACTCACCACTCAACATCAACCCCATTGACTACGAGAAACCATTCGACAGCGGGGATAGGATGACATGATGTAGGCTTCGTCGATGCTGTAGTGCGCCTGAGATAGTCAACATTATATGGAATTCTTATGATGGATTCAACTGCAAATTCGTACACGGAGGACAGCTAACAGACTCTTTCGAGGTGAAGACCGGTTTCAGGCAAGTTTGCTTACTCTCACCCTTTCTCTTTCTCCTGGTGATCGACTGGATTATGAAGACGTAAGCATCTGAAGCGAAACACGGTATTCAGTGGACACCTAGGACGCACTTGGACGATCTGGACTCTTCTATCTCACACGCAACAACAAAGGCAAGAGAAGACGACCAGTGTAGCAGCAGCCTCTTCAGCAATAGTTCTCAACATACATAAAGGTAAAAGCGAAATTCTCTGATGCAGCACAACATGCACCAACCAAATCACTCTTGATGGAGATGCCTTGGAGGACATTAACACCTTTACATATCTGGGCAGCATCATCGACAACCAAGGTGGATCCGATGCAGATGTGAGGGCGCGGATTGGCAAAGCAAGGGCTGCATTTCTACAGTTGAAAAATATCTGGAACTCCAAACAACTTTCAACCAAAACCAAAATCAGGATTTTCAATACAAATGTCAAGACAGTTCTACTGTATGGAGCGGAAACATGGAGAACTACGAAAGGCATCATCCAGAAGATACAAGTATTTATGAACAGTTTTCCACGCAAAATAGTTCGGATTCGTTGGCCAGACACTATCAGCAACAACTTACTTTGGGAGAGAACAAGTCAGATTCCAGAGGAGGAGGAGGAAATCAGGAAGAAGCGGTGGAAGTGGATAGGACACACTACGAAAAGCACCTAACTGCGTCACGAGGCAAGCCCTCACATGGAACCCTCAATGCAAAAGGAAAAGAGGAAGGCCAAGGAACACATTACACCGAGAAATAGAGAAAGATATGAGAGGAATGAACAAACATTTGACAGAACTAGAGAGGGAAGCCCAGGACAGAGTTGGCTGGAGAAAACTGGTGGGCGGCCTATGCTCCACTGGAGGTAACAGGCGTAAGTAAGTAAGTAAATATGTTGAACTAGAAAAGTGAGAAGTTTGAGGACAACATAAAAATGTCATATATATGTATATATATATATATATATATATATATATATATATATATGTATATATACATATGAGTGGTGTAGATAAATCATTTCAGATAATTGCGATTAGCCATCAATTTATTAAGTGGTTAATTATCTTTGAAATCAATTAAAATTCATGTATTATTACAATAGTTTATCTATCATTTGAAACATTCCAAGTTGTTTATAGGGTCAGTAATTTTTTTATTATTGAATTGTAAGAAACCAAAATAATCAAGTTGGTTTTGACTGACATGGTTGTTTGCATATGAACACACACACACACGCACACATACATACAAATAAAAGATTATCTAAGCGTAACACGATCAAACTCATACAACAACACTACACAATACCTTATTTTCAAGAGAGAAAAAAAAATGCATAAACGTTGCTGTTGTTGTTCCTGATTTTCTTTGGTGTTTTTATTTTTAAATACAAACACATGATGTACATTTCAAAACATGTTATATAATCAGATTATAAGCTGAATAAAACACGTTTACAGATTACTAGTTGTTTCAATGTCCAGTCAAATGAAGTAAGTCATTGTAATTAACACTTTAAACAATCATGATCAACTATTCTTTGGATGATCAAGTAAAACTTCAAAAAAATACAAAATAAGCAAATGGTTCAGGAATTCTCCCTTGTTTACGCATTGAAATCATCAACCAATCATTGTTAGACCACCATTAGAAACCTGGAAGCACTGGACGGCTGTCAAGTCCTAGTATGGGACTACTCGTTAGTAATATGCATTCATGACTCCTGCACCTCGCAGGATTCGAACCCGGGACCTTCGGTCTTGCGCGCGAACGTCCAACCTCTGGACCAACGGGGCGGCATCCAATGATGTTAATTTCTAACGCTGGTCAATATACAGATACAAATATGCGGCTTGAATTATTTGTTCCAGTTGGAGATTTTTCAACAAGTTTTTTTTCCACGGGATGAGTTCGCTAACCCCATAGCCAACTCTCCTCCTTCATCCAAGCTTTGGACTGGCAGTAGCCTCAGAAAGGCTTCAGTCAGAGTTTCACATACAGTGAAACTATGAAGCATTTCAAATCTTCTAGTGGTACAGATAACGTTGAACAAAATTCAGTATTAAAATTCAATAGTTTATCATTTCAGTTTGAAATATACACCGGTCACCATTTAATATGACTGCCAATCTCTATCTCAAATATATATATATATATATATATATATATATATATATATATATATATATATATATATAACATTTATTCCACTTCATAAATCAATAATTTCTTATTAAAACTCTCAAGAA